CGGCCGACATGATATTTTCCGTTGCTAGTATTGACACTTGTGAAATATAATATTTCATAGGAATTATTTCAAATTTGTTAAAAAACTGATTCTGACTGAGATTTTGACACTTAAACAAACATATCTCATCCTTAATCGAACGACCGCATTGTGCGAGATACGAAGTACAAAAACTAATCTCATTAGAGAGGGCGCACTTTATTGACTGTATAAAAGTATACATAAATGCGAGAGTATTCCAGTGGATGTGATCTACAACCTCTGAATTTGCCTAGCAACGATGAATTCGTCCAGAAAATGGTAATATTTTATGAGAAATAGTCTGTATTTCTCATTTTTTTTATTCTTTTGCGTAAAACTAAAATTCATGCCAATATTTTTCCATGATTCATAATAATTGGAGTAATGCAAATGAATATTTTCTAAAAAAAGTCAGTTTTTAGTGAAATTTTGCCGGGAATGGGGCTTTAACTACAAATACAATTTTAAAATAACATGAGTAGAATACAAGACATGGACAAATACTGTACCTTTGTTAAAACCAAGGTCACCATCAGTGTCAGCTAAGAATGTTTCTATAGCAACAACAAACTCTCCGCTGCGATAATTAGTTCCTGCACTGCCTGGTTCTTCGACCGGTGACACAAAGCTGGTAGGAAATCGTCCCGTTCTTCCATTAGCTGTTCCGATTGCCCAATTCTCATCCACGATCTCTATAATTTGAACAATGTCCCCTGACTGCAAAGGTAGTTCGTCTACGTCTGTCGTGTCAAAGTTGAAGTTCGCCTGGGCAGAAGTTCCAGCCTCCATGTCACAATCTCACTCACATTACAAATCAACTTTCATCTTTAAATAAAAAACCAAAATTAATTAGATTAACTCGTATAGTTTGTCACTTGATGCGAGGTTGGGTATTTTCTGCTCGGGCCAGCGTATTGACATAGTAGTGGCGGTGCCAAGATTAGGTGGTCTGGAACAGACCAAGCTCCATTAGCCAATAGATTATAAAACATGAAATGCTTAAAATTGATGAAAATTGCAGTTTTCTCTAGGCAACCAGGAGCCTAAGCTACTTGAAGCCAGACCAGGGCTTCTCACTTCAACTCCACAATTGTTAGATCTCCCTGTCAACAAATTCACCCCCCACCCCCTACAACTCTATGATGCATAAATGTATCATAGGGCCATCACCAAACACTGCTCACCATAGATGGGGACGGGGTCAAGTTGACCATGCCTTTTTGTCTTCATTTTCGTTGATTGGCATTATATTAATGGATGATATTTTTAAGTAAAGTACAGGGAACCTCACCAAAGCTACAGCAAGTCAAATGTAATAATAATAATAATAATGGTCGACTTGCGGAGCACATATTATGGGACCTCTATGCGCTTACGGTAACATAAACATGACAAACGTACCAAGAAAATAACACTTATCTAACAAATCCTATTCACTAAGCATGGTTTGGCCGTTGGCTCCGAGGAGCTCATCCGCCCCTTGTTCAGCTATTTAATGTGGCTATAATTATAGATCATTTGACACAGACACCAACAATGATATGCCACAGAGAAAGACATCACAATTGCAAACCTATTGTATTATATTTGAATGGTTATACAGTAGTCTAGACACACTTTATGATAATGGATTTATTAAATATACATTTCCTGAATTATTTTCAACGGTCATCACAAATATTACTGTACTTTTATACCAGGTTGATGTCAATTCTCTGGTGGGTCAGATTTGATCCAGATTACACAATTGAGAATCCCAGCCTTTGATTCAGGATTAACTCCATTACTTCCATATTAAAGATTTTAATTATGAGGGCCATTTATCTTACTATAAATTTACGTACTAATCTGTTTGTCTAATTATAGACTACAGCAGTAAACCGCCAAATGAGTCTTCAAGATGATGAAAACGTATCATGTTATTCAAGTTAATAGGCTGGGTAGTTACGGTGATTACTGTACGTTGCTCATAAACACGAAACAAATGCGCAATTTCTCTCCCGGTGCAGCCACGTTTTGAAAGTTGTTTGCATCACTGACAAAAACTTTGTTCATTGATTCAGTACTGTATACTGAAATTCAAAATTATAGAATCTACTAAATCAAAAAATAAACTGTCTAGTGTAATTGAAGATAAAAGTATTAATATTAATGATAGTCCTTCATTTGTCCTCACTAAAATTTGAGATGCGCCCCTCAGGTTGAAGGGCAACACCACCAAACTTATACAACATGTAATGGTCTCGAACCCGGTCTTTAACCCATCTTACTCTCAATGAGAGTGTTATTCGAGGAACTGACAGACTACTGTAAACGCCAATTACAAAAAAACCGACACTAGCTAGGTTCAAACCAGGGTCTACGTTTCATGAATCAGGAACACTACCTTTCAGCCAAACGCTCTTCTAATATTGTGCAAAAAATGATTAAAAAAAATATTTATTCAGTTTATACAGTAGGACTTGCACAAGTTTTGTAAAGGAATTTACTGGTAGTCAAAAACATTAGATAGAAAAATATGTAAAATTCCACTTAACATGTTAAAAGACCATTAAAGTAAACACTGATTGCTATGAAACCGTCACTTAACAAGAAATATTGCAAGTACCTCTTCAATTATAAATAAACACATAACTATAAAATAAATAATCTAGCATAGACCTTTAACACATAATATGATTATCTAAAACCATTGTATACTGTATGTGCAATTTGCTATCAGATAAAAGGAAATGAAGAGATTACTTGTTAATACTTGGCATGCAACCATCAAACACAGTTAACATAAAATTGCAATGTTCAATTTTAATACCTTCCTCATAAAAAGGATTCTTTACATATTTTGTAAAAAAAAAACAAAAAAAACCACAATAATTTTCAAGTTCAAACCATATAGGCAAGGCCAAGTTGATTGCATCATATCATACAAATTCTGTTTGAACAACATGTTCTTCATTTGTCCTCAACTTAGAATTGTAAATTTGGGATGGGCCTTCAGGAATTATTGGGATAGTTCATCCCTCTAATATAGACCTACTAACCCATTTTTCTTGACATAACCTAACATAAACATTTGAATGTAATTTGTGTTTACAGTATTTGTACAGTAAAATGATTAAAATAAATAAATATGGTGTTTCCAACTAAAAAATGGCATAAATATTCCATTCAATTTCAATATAGGATACATTTTCTTTAATATTATTGATTTTCAAGTGTCTCCGTCATAACCGAGGAAAAATAAATCAATATACTGTAGTACAGTACAATGCTTTTATAAAATCTGGCAGAAAAAATGGAAGATATCCTATTAAATTTCAAAAGAATATAATTTTTTTCAAGAGTCTCCATCATTAACGAGGACAAATTATGGACTGATGAATTCCCAGTTGTGCTCACATAAGTCACGGATGAGTGAGCATTACGAGAAGCAAACGATTGTAAATCATTTTGTTTCATACTCAAATGTATTAGTATCTTCTCCACTATCACATAGTAAATGCAACCTAATTTTTCAGCGTACTGTAAATTTCTCATTATTTATAGAATTCTAGTAAATGAAAAACAAAAGAGAATATTCCTGTGTGTTTCATATTCAGATTTTAGGAAATGGATATTGTTCTTACGCACATTAAAGCCACAGTCGCACTGGATTTAAAAAGGGGAAGATTTTACCGAGACGCCGGTTAACACTTTGACGGTGAAATTGTAAGGCTGTCTGCACTTGGATTTTCGACAGTTAAGTTTCCTGTCAGTGAGGGTAAAACCTAGGCCTACTACTACTACTGCGAGTACGAATTTGATTGTTGGGCCTAGGAAGGCTAAACATACCATTCACAATTTAAATTAAATCAGCCATGCTCCAATAGTAATAATGCAGGCAAGTGAAAGTAGAAACGATGATATAAATTTAGTTACAACAATACCAACAAGCAGAATCAAAACAATATTCAAAACAGGTTCGTGTCGCGCAAAACTTTGAGTTGAAATTGTGCGCAGTGACCCCGGAAGATTAACCAAGTCGCGCTGTTAGCATTGGACTATCTAGCCCGGTCAGATTGACTTCAGTAGTTTTCCTGAGCACAATTGACTCGGTTAAACTAACCGTCGACTCGGGTAAGTTCCCTGACCAGAAAACTTCCTAGGTTGTTCGCCTAGGACTTTTTATGACTAACGGCGTGTCAGTTAGTTTTACCGAAATAATTCCCGTGCAATTGTGGCTTAAGATAGCGAGACTGGAGTTAAAGGTTAGGGTTAAGCCAGCTCCACCAATCATAACTTTGGATTTGTGTAAAATCATTGTTTAAAGTATAGTATTATATTTAGTAGACATCAAGGATTGTTTCGGGTTCTTGGTGCATTGCAAGTACCATAATGGGATTCAACAACAAGACGGGATCTCCGAAAATATATTTTTTATTTTTTATAGTCTATCATGGTAAAACAAAGTGTAAACTTCATACTGTCTTTTAGTAATGCTATAATTTACACTAATAAATCATTAAAGTAATTTAATTTTTAATTATATTTTTGATAGTCACTATCAACATAACAATATAAGATAATAATGATGGAAATACCGATTGTATACTCTACTTAATAATTATACCTCATAATAAAAAACTAAAAATAAGAATTAAATAATAATAATAATCAAATTAATATTTACTATAAAAAATTAATGCCTTTAGTAATACTACAGTAGATACTGTAATTAAAATATTAAATACAATTTTATATCAGCTGAATAACAGTGTCATAAGTACTGTACAGTAAGGACAACGTTGAATGCAGCAAACAGTACAATCATGTAATTAGCATAAATAATGTTACCAATTACAGAAAAAGAAAAGTCTTACTGTAAGCATGCCTACTAAATGCCATGAGTCTACAGGGAATAGTAAAATTTACCTGATGCTGCTCGGGGGAAACTGTTGGAAAAAAATCAAACAGGCCTAAATAATTAATGTCATTAGTTGGTGACCAAACAATGTATACATAGTAACAATTCTTCCTCAATGTTTAATTAGACACTTGAAGTCTTCAGTAGATATTATTATTATTATTAGTACAATAGTATAGTTTAGTACAGTATTACAGTATTATTAAACAATAATAATAAAAAATAATAATAAATTAATGATGATGATGATAATAATAGCACATTCCATAAAAAAGCCTAAATATACTTTAAACAAAATAAATTATAAATACAATTATAAAAAATAACAATTATAAACAATAACAATTAAAATTAATTTTTTTTAAATTATTTCATATATAGGTTAATGAATTCAAATACAATGTTTGAAAACTCTCATTTGCTAAATCTGAGTAAAACTAAATTGCACGTCCGGAGTCAATTGGCTTTGGAATTCATTACGAGATGAGCATTTATTGATTACTGTTCCTGCATATCATTACAGACCTGTATTGCATTATACTGTATCTCCTTTATTAAACACCTAAATCATTCCATGCTCTCTATGTAGTATTTTCAAGGTGTCTCTAATCACAGTTTGTTCCTTTCAGATTCAGTGCATCCAGGAATTCAAAATAGAGGTGACCCAGGGAGAGACTTTCACAGGGAGACAATTTTATGCTATGGCACATATATATACAGTCAAGTACTGTAGATGGCCGGAAATTGCACTCTCAGACTTACATTTAAATATTGTGCTCCTTCCGCCACCCCCCTAAATTTATTGTGCCCCTTCCCCCACCCCCTAATTTTTTTTCCAAATTTACAAAATTTAGGGGGAAATGATCCACCTTTGATGTCACCAAAGGGATTTTGTACTTTAACAATCTTACAATTATCATTAAATTATAAACTTTAAAAAAAAGACATTAATATTAGAGACATAATATGAATACGGATTTCTTTATAAAATAATAAATGACTTTGATATTTTAATGTTAACACATAATGCCTACATTTTATTATTTTAACAATATTCCAATTCATCAAATTAATAAACTTCAAAAATTCATTTTTTTTAGTAGGGACTAGATAGAAATAATGTGAATGTGGAATTCATAATAATAAAAAAGTGGTTTTGATGTTTAAAATACAATGTTTTGACCAAATATGAAAAAAAAAGCTTTATCATGTTACAAACCACATTCCCTCAGTTAGAAAAATAAATACCAATTTGTCATGAACATACAAAGTACTTAAATAACTCTAACGCTAATACTCCTGGCTGACTCAGCGTACAGATAACTGTATAGATTCCGGCCATTAGTAGCTTCCAACAATAACATAGATTATCATGTGTATCATTGCAATCAAAATATATTTATTAATGTTACGATTCAAACATAACATAAATTATTAATTTTTATTGAATGTAATTGTTTACAATTTTTATTATTTTTTTTACTTAACTGTAACTACAGTAATGTCATTGTCATCAAATTTATTCTTATTATTAATAAATAATAGCATTACTAAGCTATTAGCATAGTGTTTTTACTGTATAATTGTAATGGTTAAAACAATAAAACATTTATTTCATCAATACTTTGCAATTACTGTAAATTATATTATTTATTAACAATAATAATATAATAAAAACAAAAGTGGCTTTAAACATACAGGCATCAGGTGCTTAGAAATTGTCATTAAAATAAAATTTAAAATAATTAAATTAAAATATAATTTTGTATTTTTTAATAAGAACATAAAAACAAAACAACAGTTCTTAGTAAAAAAAAAAAAGAAACAATAAAATCAGCTGTAGCTGTTTGTGCATAGTTTGTAAGATTTCTGCAAATTAACATCTTGTTTCAATATTATTATATAACAATTCTGAAGATATTTGTCAACAATTGTTGACAAAAATATTTCATATAATGTAGAGATACTGTATCAATTATTGTATTCAATTATTTTAAAGGCTGCAAATTTTTTCAGTCTTTTCAACTTAACATGAAAATGAAGATTAATTTGAAATTTACATTGGTAAAGAAGTATTTATTTAAAATATATGCATGATTGTGTTGCAGTTTTGAAACTACTGGTGTATGCAAGAATTTTCTTGCATACTGTACAGTATGCATAATTTTTTGACTCTGCATAAAAGATATTTTTTTTTTCACAGGTTTGAAACTGCACAAATCCAACGAACTATGATTAACACAGCCAACAAAGTTCAAACCAAGTAGTTTTTTAAACATTTGAAGAGACTGGGGAGGGGGGGAAGATGGGATGGGGAAGAATTTAATCAAACTTGCTATGTAAAGTAATCCTTGAATTTATCTTAAATAGATTGTAATTTATCATTCATTAGTAAAATATAAAATATTTGCTTACATATGCTTATATTAAACTTTATGTTTTGATATGTTGTACTGTGCATTACTGTGTTTTAAGACATATTGGGGAGGTTTGACAAAAACCAAAAACACAGTTGGTTAACGAGACAGATTTTTGAATATTTAAAAACTACGGGAAAGGTTTAATCAATATTTTAAAACTGGGGAAAAGGTTTTTAAATATTTAAAAT